GGTGCTTCCTCTGAGGGTCCCCTGAAGCTGCTTCCTGACAACCACTTTGACCTCGTGGTGATAGATGAGTGTGCCCAGGCGCTGGAAGCCAGCTGCTGGATACCTCTGCTGAAGGCTCCCAAGTGCATCCTGGCTGGGGACCACAAGCAGCTTCCTCCCACCATCATCTCCCACAAGTAAGGAGCAGTTTGTGGTCCTGGGTCCTCCTCTTGTTTATGCAGCCAAATGCTCCTGAATGCCTCAAGTTTCAGAACATTTCACTAGTGTGGGTTCTTTACTGGGATCCCCATGAGCTGGGCTGGGTCATGCTGCCAGAATTACATCACACCTGGTTTACTGCTGGACACTGCTCCAAGTTTAACGTGCTCCATGTGAGCAGGGTCAGGACGTGACACTTGGTTGTTCTACCTGCTGCCGACCGAGCCACGTAAGAGCCAAGTGTGTGTAGTTCACATGGTGCTGGAGAGTGGCCTTTTGTGCTGGCACGTGTCTGCTGGGCAACAGCTCCAGGGCGTGCAGGGGGCTGAGTGCAGGCAGGGAGAGCGAGCGGGGGGCAACCTTTGGCTGCTCTGGAGCTGCTGGGGATTCTCCAAGGTCTCTCAAAGACTCTCATCCATGCGGGAGCAGAGATGTAGCCTGCAGGAGTCTGCGTTCAACTGAGTTTTGTAGGAACAGGGGGTTAGGAATGGATGAGCTTTAAGGTCCCTTCAGCCCAAACCAGTCTGGGATTCTGTGAGACACTGCTGTGCTCCTTTAGCAGGGTTCCTTCCTCCAAGCTGCATCAGGGCTATGCATTGTTTGCTCTGGTTTTCTCTATAGTGAGGAGTGCTTGCACTGTGCACTACTACTGGATTACTCAAGATTGTGTATACTTTGACAGCTGTTTCTCCTGAGAGACCTGTCAGGAGCAGAGACACCTTCTCAGTTCCACTTGGCAACACTTAACTGAATTCCCATTTTCTGTCTGTTGTGCAAAGTAATATTCAGAGTGGTTGGAAAACCTGTTCAAAACCCACCTTAGAACAGTCACATCAAACTAGTGAATTGGTAACCAGCAAAAGTGAACAAAGCACACGTGAATTCCAGTTTCACTGACCAGGATTTGTATTTACACTATAAAATGTTTGGTTTTAAGAAGGATGATCCGGTTTCATGCAGAGGTCCCTTGTTCCTGGCAGGAATTGTGGCCTGGCTCACTGCTCTGCTGCTGCAGGCTCTGCACAGTGGATTCCAGCTCATTCCACTTGAGTCCAAGTCTTCTCTTCCCTTTATTAAATCTGCTTTTGTGGTTCCACCTGGATTCATTTCATGTGCTGTTACTGTTGGAGGTGGCTCACCAAGGTGCTGTGTCACCGCACACACCACGGTGATTAGCCAGCCTACAACACCTATTAAGTACAATTAGTCTGTGGCTGGTGTAAACTGCCTGTGCTTCAAGGGGGATACTCTAAGTAGTACTGGGGAGCCCTTGGGTAGTTCAGACTATAAACCTGCATGTGTTTATCTAGCCTGAGATCTGGCCTTACTGAGCCATCATTGTGCAGAGCAAACAGGGCTCCCTTCATAACCTTCTCTCCTGCTTCCAAAGACTAATAAGCTGGATAGATAGAATCATAGATACGTGTCTATTGTCTCTCTCGAGTCTTGAAGAAGGAAATGAAACTCCAGGGAGACAGCAGTTCCAGCAGAGGTAAGAGATGGTGCAGATACCAGGGTGCTGTGTCATCTTCTCATTCTGCTGCTCTCAGACACTCAGTTGTTGTGTGCAGGTGATGAGCACACTCCTGCGCTGCCCGCTGGGGTGACAGGGCTGCACAAAGCCTGGCCAGACCCCCCTGCCCTCTGCTCTCACCCGTATTTACAGGGAGGTTGCAGACTGTGACTCTGTGCCTGGGTTTTCCCATCTGAGAAGAGGCAATAATACCATTACCCCCATGCAGAAGGCAGATGGCCAGCCAGGGGAGCTGAGGAGAGGCTGTGCTCTGTGCTGAGGGACAGCGTTGTTAGCCTAGGGTAGGGACAAGCAGGCCAGAGCTGGAGCTTCCTGTGCTTACATCACGTAGGGAATGGTTTAATCTGGAGTCAGATACCGAAACTGTTCCCAGTGGAAGAGTTGAAAAAGAGCCCAACAATTTTGTTGGCAGTTTGCATGGCTTCTTCCCAGGTTTTTAAAATCCCAGCTCTACAAAGCACTGCTCTGTGTAAAACTAAGAGAGAGGGTGGGAAGGAGCCAGATCTTGGACTCTTCAGCTTCAGCAGGTACCAGCTGCAGGGCAGGCAGTGGTGAGGGCAGCTCCCATGTCGTGGGGGATGATCACCTTTGCATGAGAAGCCTTACAGATGTTTAAGGATTAACAACAGATTCAAACCAGAACAGAGCAGAGCGAGTGTGAGTCAGTGCTCACAGGGTTATGTCTGGGCCTGGCAGTAAATTATCATCTGAAAAGCTTGCTTCATTAAACAGAATCACTGCTCAAGGCAGCAGGTCCATGACCCAGGCACTGGGCACCAGTCACCAGAGCTCAGCCTCACGGGCAGCTGCCCTCTGGAAGATGAAGTGCAAAAAGCCAAGCTGCCTTCAGCCTGCTCTGGGGATGATGGGCTGTGCCCTCCAGTGCTGTCTCTCTCCAGCACATCTCTGTTTAGCCTAAAAGGCAAAGCTCTGTGATGCTCTCCCTGCGCCAGCTGGTCTTCAGTTCAGTCCCCAAGTAACTCCTGAAACCTGTCAGCTGATGTGAAGCAAATCCTTCCCAGGGTGAGTCTGGGAGATGTCCAGCTCTGTAAAACCAGATGACAAAGGTGAGGCCTGAGTTTGCCCCTGCTCTCAGGGGAAAGCATCAGATGAACTCAACCAGAGCAGAGGCTGCCAGAGAAACCACACAGGAGGGACCAGAGTAAACCCAGCATTCTGTGTTTGCTACTGAGGTAGTTTAGGCTAGCACTGGAAGACTCCAGCTGATACCCTGCTGTCTTAGGGGTGGTGTGTGTCAAAGAGATGACCCCCGTTGTGATCTGAATAAACAGCGTGAAGGGGGCAGAAGGATCACTCTCCCCATTTCATCCCACGTTACAGAGGAAACCTGTGGTGGCTTCTAGGACTGAGAGAGATGGAGAGGAGCTTTGGACAGGGGCCTGGAGGGACAGGCCAAGGGGAATGGCTTGAACCTGCCAGAGGGGAGATTGAGATGAGCTCTGAGGCAGAAGCTCTTCCCTGTGAGGGTGCTGAGGCGCTGGCACAGGGTGCCCAGAGAAGCTGTGGCTGCCCCATCCCTGGCAGTGTTCAAGGCCAGGTTGGACACAGGGGCTTGGAGCTACCTGCTCCAGTGGAAGGTGTCCCTGCCCGGGGCAGGGGTTGGAGCTGGAGGAGCTTTAAGGTCCCTCCAACCCAAACCAGGCTGGGATTTTGTGATTATCATCGTGTTTGTTTCCACTTGAGCTCAAGGGAGTTTTGATGGGCAGTCTGGAGGTTGCTCCTCTTTGTTGCTGTTTGCCATACCTGGAGTTAGCTCAGGATACAGAGGGCATCCACCCCACCTCATAGTAATTCACTGCACCTTGTCCATGCTGGGTGGGTTTCTTCTGAAAGAGCTCCCAGCAATGGTACCGGTCCCGCTGCTCCAGAGCTCATGGACTTCTGCTCCAAGCCTCCTGCTGGGTTCTGGCTCGCTCCCAGGGACATCTCACTGCCAGGACACTCTCTGCTCTGACAGGAATATTTGTTTCCTTGTTTTTGTTGCATTCCTCGCTCCATCCTTTTCTGACACCCTCATTAATTTGTCTCCACATCAGCACTTTGATTTATTCATTTGTTCTTACACTCTGAGGCAGCTGAGACACTTCTCAGGCCTCTGGCTCTCAACTGGTGTCTTACACAAGCACAGGAGTATTTTGCCATCTTGTTAGTTAGCAGAGAGTCTGGATGTCGCACATCCCAAATCCATGGGTGAGTCCTCTATGCTTGGAAGTTTGCTGATTTGCCTGTCAGGTCCCAATAGATTTGCTTTCACTTTGTCACCAGCAACTTCTCAACCAGCAAGTGTCAGGCCCTGGTTTTCTTTGGCAGCCTCCACAGCAGGTAAGAACAGGCCACCCTCCTCCATCCTGTTTGTAAGGATTAAACAAAATCCACACTATCCAGAGAGAAAGGGGGAATTCTGCACAGTCTCACTTACTTTGTGTGTTTGTGAAACCTCTTAAACCTGTAGCAGGGTAGGGAAGCCCAGCCAAGAGCAGCTGATACTTTGCGTGCCCACAACAGCCCCAGCCTGGTTTGGCCATCCAAGAGCTTAATGTGGTAGGAAGACAGAGTGACATCCTTGTCCAGTCTGTGCTGCCCAGGTTCAGTGGTGCACAGCAGAGATCAGAGCCACACCAGCATCTCCTTCTGTCTGTTAGGGGGGAGAGCAGGAACCGAGGGGATGAATAAGAAAGACACAGCATGACTGAGGGCACAGCTCCATCCCTCCCTCTTGTTCCCCTGGTAATGATCATTCTGACACGTGGAGGCAGGCTGACTGCTCACACCCAGCACATAAAGGGTATTTCTCACCACAGTGGGCACCAAAGCCTCTGAAATGCTTTGTTCCACTTGGCTACAGCCATCACTGTAATGTGCAGCATTTCTTCAAGGGCTGGAGGAGGAAACCTTACCTGTGCAGAGCAGCAGGGCCTCATCCTCCTCACTGGGCTCTATCCTGTACCCCCAGCCCCAAAAAAATGCATTTGGGCAAAGTGCAGCCTCTTCCTGCTTGTGAACAAGGTGAGACCAGGTTAACAGCAAATCCTGGCAGCTCTGGGTTTATTCTGGTCAGTTGAGCTTTCCTAGCTTTACTTTAAAGTAGGTGCTCTTGAGCATCAGGTGTGAGTCCGTCCAACCTTCCCCAGTTTAACTTCTCTAAAGCAATTGCTACTTAAAACCCCTTCTGCTCAGTGCTCTTATGATTCTCTTGGTGTAGAAATCCTTGATTGTAGGAATAATTGAGCAGTAAAATAACAGGAAATTTACAAACAGGTGGATTATTTGTGAGCAGTTGAATAGCTCATTATTAATTCAAGCTATAACCTCAGGTAGATCCCTGCGGAGGAAACCCTGCTGTCAGTGCATGGAAGAGCATTCCTTGCTCAGGCTTGCTGGAGGTTTGCTGCCTCCCCCACACTTTACTGTGTGTCATTACAAGAAACATCTCAGGATAGTTGTTGTTAAAGAACATCAGGGGTTTCCTGCCACTTCTGCATCCACACCGTGTTCAGTTCCAGCTGCAGCTCTGCCTGATGGAGTCTTTAGCCCAGGAGGGTTACATCTGCATCTCAAACCGTCATCCAGAGCAGACCCTTGCCTCTAACTTGCTTTTCCCTTGCAGAGCTGCTGCCAAGGGCCTTGCCCTCAGCCTGATGGAGCGGCTCATCGGGAGGTACGGGCAGAGGGTGGTGAAGATGCTGGTGGTGCAGTACCGCATGCACGAGGCCATCATGCAGTGGGCTTCCTCCGAGCTCTACGACGGCCGCCTCACTGCACACCCCACTGTAGCCCAGCACTTGCTCAAGTGAGTCACTGCCTTTCCCTGGTTTATGAGCAGAGGTGTCTTTTGCATCCCCCACATGCAGGGTTTGTCCCTTCCCTGTGATGGGGTTTGCCGTTCCTCCGGGCCTCTGTGGTTCTGTGACTCCACCAGAGGTAAAGGGCCCCACTTGGCTCTTGCTGTACAGGACACGCTCTTGAGCAGCATCACTGCAGATGCCAAGGGGACCAAAGCTTGGTGGAGCAACAGGGAAACCTCAGTGCTCGGTTTCTGTCATTCTTCACCACCTCCAGAGCCAATCTTCTGCCTTTTCACCCCACCCCACTGCTGCTCTGCAGCCTCGTCCCTCGGAAGTGTTTTCCCTCTGTCCTTGCAGTGTTGTTGGGAGGAATGAGAACACAACTGATCATCCCTGGGGTGTCATGTCAGTGTTGTTAACTGGCCCTTTCCCACATACCTTGTGCAGGGACCTGCCGGGTGTCACCTCCACAGAGGAGACCACAACTCCCTTACTGCTTATAGACACTGCTGGCTGTGGCCTGTTTGAGCTGGAAGTGGAAGATGAACAGTCCAAGGGCAACCCAGGTACCATTGTTTGGAATACGCTGTTGGCCAGAATCAACTGTCTGAGGTCCTCAGCTTCCCAGGGGCTTGGTGACGCACATCCCAGAGATGTCCCCTCCAGAGCAGGTAGCAGGGAAGACGGGGTCCCCAGGGGGACTGACTTGAGAGACCATTTCTTCCATAAATCCTCGAGCTCAAAGGACTCTGAGCCAGAGCAAAGTGGCCATAGGACCACAATGACAGTGTCCAGCTTGGGGGTGGCCACCCTGGCTGCCTTGTTCCCTTGCAGAGACATTTCTCTGGGATAGGGTGGAGGATCCCTGTGACAGATGCTTTACACAAATAACATCAGACAGAGCATGAGCCTGTTCTGGAGAGACTGTAGATGTGGCTCAGAATTGCCTCCCAGCCCCTGCTCCCTTCGTGAAGTCCTGTATGGCTCCTCTCCATGAGTATTCTGAAGACACTGAGTTTCCTGCTGGTTTTGACTTAAACAGTAGGTTTCATGATGGAGATTGAGTGTAACTTCAGGCTCCACAGCCATTCTGCAGCAGGGGCTGTCCAAAACCTGCTGCTTCATCTGACTCTCACTGCAGCCACCCATCCCTGCCTGGCTGCTGCTGCACTTCTCCCAGTGGCTGAGCCTGGGGCTATTCTGCCATTGCTTCCATGTGGCCAAAGAGCTTTTTTGGCTCTGGGGCTGCTGCTCCAGGCATTCATTTGTTTTCCTCTGCTCACTGGTGCAGATCTGCTGCCAGCAACAGATTCTGAGGCTTCAAGTCCCTTTCTGGCAGGATGGGAAGAGGGACTGTAAAATTCAAGCAGTTTTTACCACTTTGACTATCTTTTGCTTCTTTTGTTTGAAAACCCTCCAGCATTGAAGTGCCTCTTGTTTTCCATACAGCAATCCCTGTGGCCCTGCTGACCAGGGAAAGGCTCTTGTCCCCCGATGGAGAGCCAAAGAGACTTGTTGAAGATAACCATGGATTTTGAGCAGGGGATTCAATGCTCATCTCCCAGATCTGGGAGGCAGCCTTTTGGAGCAGCACACTGCAGAGTCTTGGGTTTATACCTGTGTTTTGCTGCAAAACAGAGGGTGAAACCGATTCAGCCAATAGACCAGTTCACAGCTGCATTTACCTTGTCCTCATCAGGTCCCTCTGAAGCAGCCCCATTCCAAACAGCCCATGGGAAGGTCTGAGCATGGAACTTGCTGATGTGGTCACGGGGGTTTAGAAGTGCAGGGATTGAAAAGGCAGAATGAAAAGGGGAGGTGGAGGGTTTCAGTCAGAGCGTAGAGAACTGAGTTTATAGTGAGGTCCAGGGTCTTGCTTCAAATCCATTGCCTGCATTATCACTGATCTCTTGGATTAGTAAGGCCAGGGAAAGCAAAGTGCTGCTCAGAAGGCTTTTCAGCTTAAGTGAGCTGGTGACTTGGAAAGGCAGGAAGCAAGCACAGTGCAGCCTTGGGAATGAGGTTGTGGAGCACATCTCCACCGAGCCGAGCAAGCCAGGCTGGAAATGCTGCAGGCAGGAATTCCCTTGGCCTTTCCTCGCTGTTTAAGGGGAGGTGGGGAAATTGCTCTGAGCCATTCAAGTCCCTTGTAGCTGACAGCTTCAGCCTCTGCCCAGCAGCCTGTTCCCCTCACCAGCCCCTCTGCTTTCTGCCCTAGGGGAGGTGCAGCTGGCTGGTTTGCACGTCCAAGCCCTGGTGGAAGCTGGTGTGAAGGCAAAAGACATCGCTGTGGTAGCCCCCTACAACCTGCAGGTGAGCTGCCCCCCTCCTGCATCTCCTCCCTCTTGCTGCATGCACACAGAGCACACACACAGAGCTGCATTCAAGCCCTGACAGCTCCAGCAGTGATACGAGAAGAGCCCCAGAGAGATGGAGGGGGAAGTCAGCAGAACCAAACTGTATAATCAGCTCTTGTGGCCAGCTTGTCCACACTGAAGCAGCTTGAGGCCATGGAGGGAAGAGGTTTTAGTTGGGTATTTTCCACTTCCAGCCTCAGGAGTCAGCACTTTACTTCTGGGAGATGTGACACATCCTTGTGGGTTTGAGAGGAAGAGACTTCACCAAAACAGCTCCATTTTAGTCCTTCTCACCCTGTGCTTCTCTCGCAAAGATACCCGTCCCGTGTTTTTCAGGTGGACATGCTGAGAGAGCACCTTGGCCACAGCTACCCAGAGCTAGAAATCAAATCAGTCGATGGTTTCCAGGGAAGAGAGAAAGAGGCAGTGATCCTGTCATTCGTGAGATCCAACCGGAAAGGTGAGGCTTCACTGCTGGAGTTATTCCATGGGGACAGGGACAGAACGGGGAACTGTGACTGCTCAGCGGTCTCTCGTCACATTGCCAAGTGGTTTAATTGCAATTCTGACAGTCTCTGGCACTTTGCTCCGAATTGATTCACTGCAGGAACCTTCCTTTCAGCCGCTGGGGTTTTATAAAGGAACATCTTGGCTGTCAGAGTTGCAGAGGGAGGCTCCACGGGAGGCAGCAGGGAGAGGAGGCCAGGACGTAGTCTGAAGGTTTCCTGCCTGTTGAGGCCTCAGAAATCATTTAAACAGGGTGTTAAGCATGGCAGGTCAGTTGCACACTTACTGCAGTGCTGAGCACATCCCACAGAGGCTGAAAACTTGGGGGGTGATTGCCTGGGTTTGGAGCCTCTTCTGGATCAGTTCCCCGAGGAGAGGAAGCAGGAGCTGCCACTGCAGGTCCTGCACAGAACATGCTTCTGTGGGAAGCAAATCTAGAGCAGAAAATCCAGTTCTTCCCTATGAGCAGCTGCAGCCAGAGATAACAGCTGGGGAAAAGCTGCTGCCCTGGGGCCAAGAGGCTCCTTTGGAGGTGCTGAAGGGACCCCTCATGAACCACCTCTCGGTGGATCACTGCCCTTTACAGCCCTCAGGCGACACACATCCCTTGCTGCACTCACCGCCTTTGCTGCTGGAGATGAGGCACTGAGTACGTGCTGATGTCTGAGAGGAAAAGAGGAAGGTATATGTGGAAGGAGGAGGTGGTTGTGGTGTTTTTAGAAAGCCTGGAGCCAGGAAAGCAGCGCTGGGGGAGAACGGAGGTGGGACAGGACTAAGAATAGGCCTTATTCAGGAGTGACTCACCTCGCCTTTGCTTGGAGGAGCTGGTGTCCCCGTGAAGGTGGGTGTCCCCATCCCCTTCCCGTGCACAGCCAGCAGCCAAGGCTCAGGTGTGGGGCAGGAATCTCTGTCTCTCCTGGGAGCATGAGGCAGCTTCTGGTGGTGTCTGGGCACAGCTCTGGTCTGCACAGGGCACAGGAGATGTTGTTAGAGCCCTTGGGAGAAATCCAAACCCTTTCTGCAGCTGCATTTCTCAGCTCAGAGGAGGCCAGGGACCTGGACCAGCCATTCCTGATCCAGTGGGAAACCCTCTTGCCCCATCAGAGGAGCTGGACTTGCCCCTGCAACTGGCAAAACCACACCAGAGAAGCTGGAAATCACTCCCTAAGCTGCAGAGCACAGAGAGGGGATCCCCAAACCCTGCTCCTCAGAGGCAGCACAAACTGCACTGCTGAGCCATGGCAGGGCAGAAACAGACCAGCAGGGATCTGAGCTGCGTCTCCTCTTCATCCCCAGGGGCTGGGAATTCAAAGGCTGCCCACAGGACCCTTCTCTCTTAGCTGAGCCTCACTGACTCATCTGGGCATTCTCCAGCTCTTGCTGCTCTTCTTTCAGAAGCAAACCCTGCAGAGCTGCCTAAATAGCTGTTACTTAAACCACCAAGAGCCTGGGGACATGTGGGGGTTGTGGAATCATGGAATGATTTGGGTTGAAGGGACCTTAAAGCTCCTCCAGCTCCAACCCCTGCCCCG